ATATAAAGTATATCATCTGATATTATCTACGTTTTATGGTTATTTGGCATGAAATCCATCCATCCATCCATCCATCCATCCATCCATCCATCCATCCATCCATCCATTCACTTCATCTTTGTTGTATTTCATTTCTTCGTGCGTTATATATTTGTTTCTTGTCTGTACATTCATTCATTACTATTATTCTTCCTTACGAACAAAGAACGACATCTCACTTCAAGAGACAAGTTTTAATGGCAAAGATAACGAAACACCAAACGTGCCAGAATATGAACCAATAGGAAGGCGAGGATTATCAACAAGTAATGTTGGTATCCCAGAATATGAACCAATAGGAAAGCGAGGATTAACGACGAGTAATGTTGGTATCCCAGAATATGAACCAATAGGAAATCGAGGATTATCGACGAGTAATGTTGGTATCCCAGAATATGAGGCGGTGACAACAAGAACACGACCACGTCAACCACATTCTGGTGTACAGACGAATAACTCCATGCCTCAGTATGAAAGTACAGATCAGCATGGACAAACAGAGGCTGTTTCAAAACCACCCCCAGTCACCTATCAAACCATCCAACCTCGTACTGGTAACTACGATTCATTGAGTTCTTTCACACGGCTGCACCCTCAGGGTACAGTACTGCCATCTAAAGAAAGCCCAACACGTACAGGAGAATACCAGGCTCTTCAACACAAGGGTGTGTCTCCACAGTACCAGTCTCTGGAAGACTTGAGCAAATGCTAAGTGAATACGGAACAAAATTAGGCATTGCCTTGTGCTTTAAAAAAATAATAGAGTAAATGATATACGGGGCATCTGTATCATAAAGATACATGAGTTGCAATAACTGTTTTTACTTTTCTTTGGTTCTTTTAGACACATTGATCATGATAGACAGTCTTGTAATAATTAAGTTATAATCATACACATACATCATAATCTTAAAGAAACTCAAGAAAAAATAATAAGACCTTCAAGGAAGCGTTTCACTCATATCTGTTAACTACAAAATTTTATTCAACATGCTGACCAAAAACCAAGCTGTATATCAGACATTTTGATTGCACTCGCATATTGATACTAATAACAATAAAGCAAATAACTCACAAATATCAATTGTAAGCTCATTTTTATGTTTGCAAGAGTTCCCTTTATCATGTTAGAGTTTTGATTTGAAAGCATGACGTAAAAGAAAGACAAACAAGTGTCTTCTCTCTCTCCTTCCTGTACACCCGTTTTCCCGAGAGCCTGTTCGCAACTACATCGACAAACATGACCTGGTCCTGATATGCTCCTGAAGAAATATCTATATTAAAACAATTAAAATTCAGCCTTTCTTACCATGCTATCAAATGCTCTTAAGCCATTATTAGTTCATTGGTGTGTTTTTGGTGTTTTAAACTAATCAGTCGGCGGCCATTTTGAATTTTCTTTACTAATGTATATGAGCTGGAATTAGCTGATAACCTAGTAGAAGAAGAGTAGCCGATCATAGCGCACTATTGCTCATCCCGGGGGCTGCTCATATCCAGCGGGTTTCTATATAATAAAGCCTGATAGGTAGCCTGACTTAATATATTGTACAATAAGTGACGCGAGACCGTCGACTGAAGACGACATTCCTGTGACAACTTTGTGAGTAGCGTGTATTTGATTATGAATTCAAATAAATTTGTGAAATTCTGAAAAGAGTATGCTGTTTAGTATGGAATCATTGGCAATGGTTTTGGTTTCTATATTGCTTTTCCGTTCCTCAGGTAAGGAATTAATTTTTTAAACCATTTTATGGATTAAGCTCACTATAATAAGCTGTTTGTAGATGCTGGAACATTCACTTGGCTACATTCGGATGATTCAGTGAATTTCATGGAGGGTGACACGGCAAAGCTCAACTGGAGTGTTCTTATTGCTGCTGGAAGAACATGGTTCGCAGTCAATATAAACAGGAGCCTAACAGACATTGTTGATGATGCTGCAGACGTCGGCCTGATAAGAAGAAATAATTGGTCTTCTACGTCAGATATACTGCTAGCTGAGCAAGGTGCTGACATGGACTTAGATGTTGAAGCAAACATAAATGTCTTGAATATTACCTTTACACTTCGCAACCTATCAAGGAAAACTGACGAGAGGTATTACAGAATATCTGTGTACGACTATTACTTTAGCAGTTCCCGGAGAACCACGAAGTTGAACGTGTATGGTAAGTACTGGATGCTTTGGAGGTCTCAAATTGACATATTACAATTTAAATAAATCTACCCTGGTGTTGTCTTTACGCCCATTTTGCTCTTAAAACGGCTTGATTTTTTATTAGGAAATACTAATAGTATAGATATTTTACTGATTTGGCGAAAAGGTGCTGTTAATATTTTGCTTCCGGGCACGAATGAAGATTAATAAGTGTATTTCACGGGTTTATGAATTGGGATATGAATAGAAGCTAAAGGTCACATATTCTTACTGGTTTCATTTTCTATATGTACGACATAAAAAAAATTGATTGACTTTTAGGATCAGAACTTACTTTTCTGTAATAAGGGCTTCGATTTTTGGTCCATCGGTATCCGCTTGATTAACTTTACTTCCGCCTATAAGATGATGAAAATAGAATGCATAATTAAGGTGGCTCGATACAATAATTTATATTATGTACGACATAAAAAAAAAAATTGGATTGACTTTTAAGATCAGAACTTGCTTTTCTGTAATAAGAGCTTCGATTCTTGGTCCATCGGTATCCGCTTGATTAACTTTACTTCCGCTTATAAAATGATGAAAATAGAATGTAATAATAATCGATACAATGATTTATAAGGAAGACTACTCTACTTGTATTGCAAACTGCGCGGCAGCAGATATACCTTGGCTAAATATGAGTTTATACTAAGTGTAGGGATAGATGGAAGTTTTAAATCGTGTGTATTTTGTGACCATCGGACACGCCCTGAAGGCACAGTGAAGTCATGTGATTAATTTTGTAAATCTATTTTTTGGCGTAATCTGAGCAAACCCGGAGAAACAAAGTTCACTATCTGAAACATACTATGGTAGTCGTCAAGGTCAGAAAGTTTCAGAGATTTTCATTGTTCAGTTTTAAAATTATTTGAGTTTTATTATTTTTGAATCTTGAATCTATGAAATATCGGTCTCTGACAAACTATTTTTACGATATTTTTGCTTATCAATGTAGTAACCAGTGATGATGAGAAATCGAGATCAATCGGTTGGCCTGATTGCAATTAAATACAGAATTAGAAAAGTAAGCATTTTTCGCTTTTATTACATATATTGTATCTATTCACGGCGCCATAAAAAACGAAATCGACGAATAATTTTTTTCTGCATGACATTATGTTTAGTCTGGGCGTTGTACTTATTGCTCCTGAAATTTCAAGTGAGTGGAATTTTTAGAAGCCCTTCAAATACGAAAAATAACATTGCACCCAATACATATCTGTATCGTCTTGAATATTAAAGATTTTCGGGGTTTCCTTTGTTTGTTTTGTTATGCAGTGCTTTTGTTTTTAAAACTTCACATGTTTAACATTCCATTACACTTGTATATCATTAAACGCATGAATTACTACCGAACAATCTCCGAGCAATGTAAATTCAAGTGATTAACAAGTATAAAAAGCGAGACGGTCAAAACAAAACAACGCAAGGAATTATACAAAACAGGAAAAAAAACGGGATTCAATAATTCTCGATAACTAGCTGTTACTTGAAATCAGATAAATAAAATAAAATGTATTTTAGTCTAATAATATGAAAAACGTTTCCAAGTGGTGATCGCCATGATCGCAGGTTTAAACCAAGGGTTACGAAATGCGTGAAGCAGAAAATAAGGGGATATTTTAGCTGTCAGCGGTCACAATTGCAGGCTCAATTCTATCTTAACAAAAATGCTCAAAATGCAATATTTTCGAAAGACAAATTTATTTCTATCATTATTTACTTAATATTATGGCATTTTGATTATTATTTTGACACTTTATTAGTAATCTGTGTCTTTTGTGGTTGATTATACGGATTGGGCTTTCTGTGGTGTCAAGTAAGCCCTTGGTTGTTTTGATGCCAAGGAAATGTATTTTGCTTACCCTTTATTCTTGAAAGCAATTACCAGAACAGTAGCACAGTGCTATACAAGCCAAGTTTGCCTTCGTACACTTGCATAGCCCTCTACAAGCCTTTTTGCAGCCACATTTTATCCAGTGTTGGATTATGGCCGTTGTATTGTGTGGGCGTTTTCTGTAAATAGTGGCAACAAACCAGTTACAGCTGAAGGTCTTGGTACTTATAATTGAAGTGACGCAAAGTGTACGTGCAGACCAGGACATGTATTCTTTTTCGTCTCTTTTCTCTTTATCTAACAGTTCGTTTACTCTATCCAACCACTGATGTTTAGCTTTCACACTTTCGTCTAATAGATCTGATGCTGGCTTTCCTACTCCACCGTGGCTTTTTGGAACAAATACATCTTTTTTCTCGTTAACAGCTATGGGTTGAACATTTGTATAGGTAATCGTATGGGGCCGAGTAAAATTAAGGATTGATTTCACGAGTGTTTTCAAAGTTTTGAAATTGCCCGAGTCGCTTCATATATAGGGCAAAATTCAACGAAAAAAATCCGCCTTCAAACTAGCATAATGCCCGCGTGCGTTGTCATTTATACAAATCAAATGTAGTTATGGTTCAAACGAATTTTATTCAGAATTAGTCAAACGTGTTTCTTCATTACATGTGCTCTCTTCTATCAAACTTTGGACAATAATACTTCAAGGTTTTCTCCTTTACAAAAAAATATCATAGATTACTGAGTTTAAACAATTAGTTGGGAAGTTTCTCTTGGATCCCACTGAATGAACTGTTAAATCTTGAAAAAAAGTGCTTCACCGAAAGAATGGCAAACGTATTTAATATCCCGTCTAAACCCATAAAAACATGCATAAAACTAGATTCCTACCAACAAAGTTCTTAATTTGAATCAGAATCCAAAGGAAGAAGCCGATTAAAGTGGCGTTTTCAGTCCAGACCAAGATGATTGTGTGAATTATTTCCAGCGATGGCGTAGTTCAAAGTCACATTTGGAACAAGTGAAGTTTTGTGCACATTTGGGACTACTTTAGTAGCCTTTTCGAGGCCCATTTACGGAAAAAAAAATATCCAAACACCTGTACTCTTTCCAGTGTTCTTATTTTCGCTTGAAAATTTTAGTTTTCTTATCGTCTGCCAATGCAAAACGGGAAGCCATTTTGAAAAAGAAAAGTTTGCAGTTTATGAGCGTTGATAAGCAACTGAACAACAAATCATTTTCTAGTAATTCGGCCGCGAATTACGAAGAAAAGCCCTCCTTCATTAGCCAATCAGCATCGAGTAATTTTGCCCCGTATATGATAAGTGTAGTAATCAGATAAATTAGCAAGGACTTTGGTCATTGGTGCTTCTAGATTTATGACGACTCAGTTTCTTTGTTTGTTTTTTTTGATACTTGGGCCTTCTACTATTATGTCAACTAATGCAAGAAGACTTGCAGGGACAGCCTGGCGTTGGCAGTCTTGATCAAAGGACCCAATGAACTGTGGTTGACTCTCTAGTATATCATGCCTGATGATTGAAGCTATTTTAGCAAGCTGGATTGCATCAGTATCAAAATCATGGCTTTCCGCTAGCTGTAATGCAGCAGTAATATGTTGGTCAAATGCTAGTCGTACTTTTTTGCCTTCGTTCTACGACTTTAA